GGTGGGGTGAGGTGAGATGGGTGAGGTGAGATGGGGCGGGGTGGGGTGAGGTGAGGTGGAGGGATCGTAGGGTGGGGTGAGGTGAGGGGAGGTGAGATGGGATGGAATGGGATAGGGTAAAATGAGAAGAGATAGAATGGGATGGGATAAGGTAGGAAGAGAATGATTGAGATGAGAAGAGATGAGATGAGATGAGATGAGGTGAGGTGAGCTGAGGCCAGTGCACTATATACTTTTATACCTTCAAAAGCTAAGGTAGAGGGCAGGTGCGCATGAACGCAGGAACGCACACACACTGGTTCGTTCTCTGTCTCTCTCTCTCTCTCTTTCTCTCTGTCTCTCTCTGTCTCTCTCTCTGTCTCTCTCTATCTCTCTATCTGTCTCTCTCTATCTCTCTATCTGTCTCTCTCTGTCTCTCTATCTGTCTCTCTCTCTGTGTCTCTCTCTATCTGTCTCTCTCTGTGTCTCTCTCTGTCTCTCTCTTTCTGTCTCTCTGTGTGTCTCTCTCTGTCTCTCTCTCTGTCTCTCTCTCTGTCTCTCTCTCTCTCTCTCTCTCGCAAGCTGCCATTTATAGGAGCTAAAGCACTCACATACTGTACACAAAGAACTCTACATACACAGAAAAAAAACAAAAAAACAACAAAACAAAACAAAAACAGTTCCATCTTTCCCTCACTGGTCAGAGAGTCCCCTGTTCCGGCCACTTGTCCTGTTGGAGATGAAGGAAACAGAAAGAAAATGTTTAGTTTTAGTAGAGGTTTTACGGCACTCGCAACTGCATAAGGTCATATGACCGCCAGAAGAATAGACGTGTTACAAGAGAGTAACACACATAAAAAAGAAGAAGGGGAGATAAGGACGATAGATGTTTGATAGGAAAGAAGAAGCAAACGACACCAGAGCACCCGCCAACCACCCACAAACAGAAAAATTGTAAACCACATTCAAATCAAATTGTTTTATACGCGTGAGCATGTATAATTGGATAGCTTTATTTATAATATATATAAGTAGACAACTTACTAATAAATACACAAAACAGACACAAAATTATTTTTTTAAAATTTTAGTAAGAAATGTACGGGACTTGCAACACAATAAGGTCATATAAGTGCTGAAGATTAGAGGTGTTACAAGAGAGTAACAAACACAAAAAAGAAGGAGGGGAGGTAAAGACGATAAATGTTTAATAGGAAAGAAGAAGCAAACGACACCAGAGCACCCGCCAACCACCCACACAAACACAAAACGAATAAAACACACAAATATATTACATATATAATTAGACAACTTAGCAAACATAATGGGACAACTTTCTATTAACAAGTAGACAACTTCCTACATCATATACAACACAGAAAACATCAAAATAAGATAAAATCAGAAGAAAAAAAACTGAACAAGGCAGAAAAAAAGAATATAACACGAGAAATACAACGAAGAAAACAGAACAAAACAAAGAACAAAACAAAGAACAAAACAAAGAACAAAACAAAGAACAAAACAAAGAACAAAACGTTACAACTGAGCAAGATATAAAACAACAACAAACGAAATAGAAAAAAAAAGAATACAACTTAAAAATCTCCCCCCCCCAAAAAAAAACAACAACAACCCAACAAACGACTAAAACCCAACAACAACAACAAAGTATGATCCCAAAACACGACGACGACGACGACGA